TTTGACGTGGAAGGAAAGCCAAAAGTGATGCATGTCTCAGACGTTTACCACTTTGGTGAAATCCGCGAGCACGGGTATGGTGATGACAAGCCTAAAAACATAATTGGGGCGAACCCGGGATTCGGACACAAGATGATAGGTTTCTGATCACGATTTACAGATAAAATAAAAATGCAGCAAAGAGGGTTTGAGTGATCCTGGCACAGTCAGGCTGGTTAGGCTCATCATCAGCTCAGGGCCTTTGCCCCCTCTACACGCAGCCCAGATAGCGAGTGGGACTTCTCCCAGGAAGCGCTGCCTAGTCGAACCCACCCAGACCTTTTCGGAGAATGTGAAGATTCCCCAACTCTGCAGCCTTCTGCATTACCCAGATTGTCAGAAGGGCTTTATTCCTGGTATCAAACACGGGTATACTCTCCCAATGTCAGTCAACAGATTGGGACGTACCAAACCTAAGGCACTGAAAACAATGGGGAGTCGGACAACTTGGTACTTGGGATGCAAGCGTGACATTTCGAAAGCGAGGTCCGCATATTTGTTTTTCCTCAATCTTGACAATCACATTAGTGTCAAAGGGGACAGAAAATTCAATGATATAAATGATTTCATTGGATTTATCAAAAAGGACAAGATCAGGTTTGTTCGCCTGGATACGTCTAAGGCTGTAAATGGGCCTATTCCAAATAATTTTGTATTTTCATTTTCCATGACGCCCTCTACATATTCCGGGTCGTACCATGGGTGGACCTCTGTGTTAAAACCACAAGCATGGCGAAGACGGTTATAAAATGATCGAGCTATACCATCATGTCGTTTAAGATACTGTGTTTGTGCCAAAGCTGAGCATCCACTGACACTGTTTTGGACAGTCTCGTTAAATTCATTACATAATCTACATTTAATATTCATTTTGATGCAAAATGACACATTGACGGTTTCGAGTTGGGAGTGACTGGTTCAGAGCAGCAAACAGAAAACCTTCTGTTTCACTTTTCAGGCCAGACGACTTCATCCAAGTGAAGGACTTTGCAGGATTGCTGATCTTCTCAACACACTGCACATAAACTCGATGCAGTGGTCGTTCAGAAAGCCTCTCCTTGAAAAATTGAGTCTGGGCCGATTTGATATGGCACTTCACTTGGTTGACACTCACTTCTGTACCGTCCAGCAGTACAGAACCATCAACAAAATCAACACCGGCTCATTTTAGAAAACTGTGGATTATTATTATTATTATTATTATTATTATTATTATTATTATTATTATTAAAACATGTTGTTATTCAAAAATATATTTCAAGTAAAGGATGTAAGTTCTTTGTTATCTGTATGAATATTTTTTATTAATTCGAAACGTGCCTTGCACATATTCGATACTCTCATAATTTGGAGACCAGTGAGGATCCGGGGTAGAATAGATCTTTTAATTAGCAACCCATATTTGCCGTAAAAAAGCGATTATGCTTGTCTGCTTGTCATAAGAGGCGACTAAAGGGATCGGGTGGTCAGGCTCGCTGACTTGGTTGATGCTTGTCATCGATCCCAATCGAATTTTTCGACGACAGAATTTTATACAGTTCAATTAAATATATATTATTATTGTCAAATTTTGTCTCGTCACGATATTGCTGAAATATTGCCGATGTGACGTTAAACTTTAACTCATTCACTCTAGCACTAAAATATATGTGGTCTATATCTTGAGCTGTGTACATGTATGAAGGGCCTATACGAACGGAAAATCAAAGACTGATTGATAATGCAAACAAACATTCATTGAACAACATCAATTAGTGTACCTGTCATAAGGGGTAACCAGCATGCAGCGACAGGAATACTATCACAATATGGTCTCGCGAATTTACTATTTCATGCGAAGCACCTTTATCAAACTAGGTCTGTGATTACAAATATCAAGGTTTAAATTATTGATTTTCGTAGAACCTTTTTTCATACAGTAGTAAAATCTGTCTGTCCTGACAGCTTTCTGTGTGGTGTCGATATGACGACGGATGTGTGGACATACACACTCCACGGGTTCCATTAAAGCCTAAGTAGCAATTACCTTGATCTTATATTATGCAGCAACCCATTGTGAGTTTCCTTGGTGAGAATTACCTGAAATGTCATGACAGTCTATCCTTGTCTCCTTCTAAAAATGTATTTGTCTATTGATTTTGACAATGGTAACTGCTTCAATTGTTTGGGACGTAGTCTGTGCACTTACCTACCAATTGCTGGAATTCGAAGTAATTTCATTAATTTTTATATCAAGAACTGATAAAAAATATTTTTCTCAAACATTGTTTTCGTAAACATTAAACCACAGTTAACCAGGATGACTGAGAGATATACGGATCTTACTCTACAATGTACAGATAATCTACTTCTTGACGAACTGTTTTTCAACAAATATCACAGTGCTAATATCGAGGAGGAAGTCCAGCATTTCACAGATTCCTTTCTCAGTAAACTTCAGATGACATTTGCTGTCATGGTTTACTAATTGGGATTGAGTACTTTTGCAGGACCAAGAATACAGCTCTCTTTGTACGGATCTTATCAAGCTTTGGAATCCATCACAAAACAGGAATGGACATGCCTTTAGGGTTTTGAGTCAAGTCAAAAGTTGGTTTTGGTAGATGTCTTCCTCAGTTAACACACTGGTCTTATATATGACATTATTTGATATATCACTTATACCATGTTCCATTAATGCAGTGATGTTTTAACCACTAGGCTACCCGACCGCCCTTTGAGTCAAGTCAAAAGTTGGTTTTGGTAGATGTCTTACTCAGTTAACACACTGGTCTTATATATGACATTATTTGATACTTCACTTATACCATGTTCCATTAATGCAGTGATGTTTTAACCACTAGGCTACTCGACCGCCCTTTGAGTCAAGTCAAAAGTTGGTTTTGGTAGATGTCTTACTCAGTTAACACACTGGTCTTATATATGACATTATTTGATACTTCACTTATACCATGTTCGATTAATGCAGTGATGTTTTAACCACTAGGCTACTCGACCGCCCTTTGAGTCAAGTCAAAAGTTGGTTTTGTTAGATGTCTTCCTCAGTTAACACACTGGTCTTATATATGACATTATTTGATACTTCACTTATACCATGTTCCATTCAATTCAATTCAATTCTTTATTGTATGAAAGGCCACAGGCCCATATACAACGGAGTTACATAACATATTTTATAAAATACAATGTCAAGGTAACAATTCACTTCGTAACAAAAACGCATTATGTATGTACAAAGCCAGTTGATGTTGTGTTATAAGATCCTTGCAAGACAGTAATGAAGACAATCTTTTAGCATTAAAATGAGATAGAGACCACTGCGGTAAGTACTTGTTTCTTAGATTTTCGTATATAGGGCAAATAAACATGAAATGGTATTCATCTTCGACAACAATGTCACAAAATGGGCATAATCGTATCGATTTCTCAATAGATGAAAATCTCCCTGTGTGAATTTTTAGATCATTCAGGCAAAGTCTAAAACGAATAAGGGTGTTACGAGAATTCCTGTACCGTAAATTTGATAAATAAGATTCTGGTTCATCCATGTTCCATTAATGCAGTGATGTTTACACGCCAGTGGGAGAAACTTTTTATCATTTTTCAGACAGACTTTGTGAGGACAGTTGGCTGGGACGGGATGGGTATATGACGGCGGTATGTATAAAGGCGAGCCCCAAAACCAGTGTTTGATATTATGAGCATCGTCCCACACCGTCAGGGTATCGTGACACGCAATCAAACAAGCACCTGAGTCTGACCAATCAATCAATGGAATTATTTCTTGCGGCCAACATGAATTGCTTCAGACCAACTTTAATCAGGAATCACTTCGTGGCTAGTTATGTGATACAGTGCGGGTTTGTACAGTAAAGAGGGGCACGGAAGGCCAAGTCGTATAAGGCCCAGCGATTCGCTGTGCAGAGTTGCGGCCCTTGGGCACGCCAGAAACCTATGATTGTGGGTTCGAAGCCCGGTTCGCCCCAATTATGTTTCTAGGTTTGTCAGCACCATACCCGTGCTCGTGTGTTTCACCGAAGTGGTAAACGTCTGAGACCTGCATCACTTCGGGCTTTCCTCCCACATTAAGCTGACACGTCGTTATATAACTAGAATACTATTAAATGCGGCGTTAAACCAAACTCACTCACTCTTTGTACAGACAGGTAATTGGATGTTCTACCTTATTTGACAAAATATTTAACTTGAGCATCTATACATCAAGCATGCCTACACGTAATGATTTAGAAAATGCATGTTTTCTTTGATTAAACCATTTGTGTTGAAGTTACGTGTTTTATCATCCTTATCATAGTTCATATATTTGGTTTTAGTATTCATTATATATTTCTAGTTAGATTTAAATTTGTGATAATTACCTAGATGTTTACTGTGTGTTTTTAATAAACGAATAATATTTTCGCTTCGCCATATGGCACACACACACACACACACACACACACACACACACACACACACACACACACACACACACACACACACACACACACACACACACACACACACACACACACAAACACACACACAAACACACACACACACACACATACACACACACACTCTAGCGCACATACACATACTAAGTCACACCTTAAACCATACACCGTTGAAATATATATCCTACAGTAAGGGTGCTCTTGAAGCACTGTTTGTGCCAATGGTTCTACTAACTTTAACGGCAATCTTAATGTCTTATACTTTAAATTCATATGATCAAACGTATGTATCATGCCTGGTTAATTTAGCAAGGCTTACCCTCGATGGGCAAACATCTTATATTTAGAAATAACCGACCCGATCGATTCGCTTTGTAGATGCAAGTTAACGAAGCAAAATATCGACGGGCGTCGAACTGTTAATCCAATGGAAACACGACCTTGGAAATAAATAAACAGAGTTCAAACGCTTTAACAGATCCATACAGTGTTTGGTAACGACAACACAGTTGGCGGCAGAGGAAATCGAGCTCGGACAGAGATTTACTATGGCGTTTTTTGGGAAAAAGTGTGAACAAGACAACACGTCTTTCAACTGCTAGTGCAGAGGGATACTCTTCGCCGCATTGTAAGTTGGACATAATCAAAGATGTATGTAGTGTGACAGAAAGTTGTTGCTTCATTGCTTTTCCACAGAACGTAGTATTTGGTCACCCGTTGTAGTTCAACACCGCGCTATAGACATGCTGCTTAGTTGTGGAATTGAGCATTTTCTACATTTTCTGTCAATGAAGACGGTACCGTCACCAGTGAAATTGTCCACATTAACCATTGTCCGGATTTATAAATAAGTGTAACCTTGGTATGTTCCTAAATCACGGAAACTGAGTTTCAATGTATGTTCCTAAATCACGGAAACTGAGTGTCAATGTATGTTCCTAAATCACGGAAACTGAGTGTCAATGTATGTTCCTAAATCACGGAAACTGAGTTTCAATGTATGTTCCTAAATCACGGAAACTGAGTGTCAATGTATGTTCCTAAATCACGGTAACTAAGTTTCAATGTATGTTCCTAAATCACGGAAACTAAGTTTCAATGTATGTTCCTAAATCAAGGAAATTGAGTTTGAATGTATGTTCCTTAATCAGCTATACGGAGATTCAATGCATGTTTCTAAATCGGGAAAATTGAGTTGCAATGTATGTTCCTAAATCACGGAAATCGAGTTTCAATGTATGTTCCTAAACAAAGGAAAATGTACTTATTATAATATTTTAGTTATAACTGTTCCTTCGAACTGTGGGAGCAGTTGTCTGAGGCGCCGCAATTCGCTGTGGTAAACGTCTTGGACCAGCACCCTTTTTGGTTTTCCTCCCACATTAAGCTGACACGACGCAATATATCTGGAAACTGTTAAAATCGACGTCAAACCCAACTCTCTTACTCACTAATTCTTCAAATCACTAATTGGTATGAAGGGGAAACAATGGATTGATGTATTTAGGTATTATGGAAGTGAAAAAATCCTATTCGATAAAATGCATAATTTATTACTTCAGAAATTCAGTCTGTCAGTACCGATTCTGTCAGAAAAGCATCTTCCGGACTAGTTCCCAGGAAACTTTATGCTTGTCCTGAGAGCCGACCTAAGTGGGGATTCGGCGGTCGTGTTCTGTGACTGGGATGACTGGTTGTCCTGATGGCCTGGCATTGTATTTATTTCGTCAATGTGACGTGTCTGTTAGACAATCGTCAATTTAGTTCATCATAAATATAATTGTTATCTAATTGAGACATTCAGTTTATGCTATTGGAAAATGGTTTGTAACGTCTTGCAAAAACAGAAATAGTTCTCCTGAAGACCCCATAGAACCATCACCTACTGCTATTTCCAAACACCAGTGAAGATCCGGGGTTGAATAGGTCTTCAGCAACCCATGCTTGCCGTAAATAGTGACTATGCTTGTCGTAAGAGGCGACTAAGGAGATCGGGTGGTCAGGCTCGCTGACTTGGTTGATGCATGTTATCGCATCCCAAATGCGTGGATCGATGCTTATGATGTCAAACACTTGATTGTCTGGTCCAGACTCGATTATTTACAGACCACCGTCATATAACTGGAATACTGCTGAGTGTGGCGTTAAACAACAAACAAACAAACAAACAAACTATTTCCTAAGTGATACCGTTGCCATTGTTTTGGTGAAGTATCTAAAGCCCTATGCTCCCAACTACTTACAACCAAAACATGTGTTGTGTGTACAATAAAGTTCATGGGCCAAACAAATTACCAATACACAGTGAGACATTGTATCAAACACTATATCAAAATGTAAAAGAACAAGACGATGTTGGAAAGAAAAATATTTGGTAGCGTTTCCATAAAGTATGGTTGTGCAAACGAATCCGATTCATTTTGTGGCTGATTGGTGTGTTCTCAGGGGCCATGAAGACATCATAAAGGCAATATCAGCTGTTCCGTACCCAGAACATGGTTCATTGTTTCTGGTTAAACACACGGGTGCTATTGCAAACATGTTATTCCAACACTGAGGTTACCTTGGTTACCAGTGACCTTGGCCTTCACTGAAGGTCGCTCGAACCTTGCCGAATACGCACATTACAGTCTACCTTACTACTTCAATTATCATCAGTGAGTCTGACTTTTAATAACAGTTGCAAATATACCTAGAACAGTCTTAAGTGCTATTCGGCACTACAGAAATCATTTTATTATATCCTTGGTGTGGAATTATTCAGGAAACAACAAGAATATGCTATTCATTGAAAATAGGTTACTGTGACCTACTACTGATATGAGAATCTAATCACTTGTTGTACATACGTACACAAATAATGTAACCACTCCATGCATAAGGCTCTAACATATTTACAGAAAATGGCATTTTTGTGAAAACTGCAAAAAAGATTTAACGATCGACCTTCACTTACATACAGATTGACATTACTCATGACCGGTTCCGATTTCGGCCCAGCAAAAGGATGATATATACCAAGTTGACTGACCTGCAGTAAAACTTCGAGGTGGGCGGCAAACAAGCTTATTCCAGGCTATAACGTTTAGGATGACCTTCAACCTTGACATGACTGATCAGTGTGTCGAGAAAGATTCCCAGGGTTACGATGTTAAACAACAAGATATGATATCCCTGAAATGCCGAAGCATCGCGTGATTTCAAGGATAAGGGCGACGGCAGTGGCAATCAAATTGAGGCGAATCATTTCACATGGGGGCTTCTAAAATTCGTTCTCAATCAAACGGGAGATACAGTTATTCTAAATACATTTTATAATTGTCATTGAATATGAAGATTCGGTTTATACTGCATACGACTGTCCATCAAACGGGAGATTCAGTTTACGTTAAATATCATTTTCATTCTGCCATGAGTTTAGAAATACTTGATTCTGATTGGTCCGTCAGAGGTATCAAATCCCAATACACGCCTCTGACTGAAACTACTGATTTGACGATCTCATCACGCAGAAGATAATATTAATAGAAAAGTACTTCTCAGTCATTGTCGGTAGGCATTGTTAAATAATTAATGTACAATTATTTGTTAAAAATTCAGATTTGCGGTACCTACAATGTTCAAAGTTTGCGTGGCGATACATTTTATGCAGAAACACGACAGTAATCGCTTGAGAGAGTTCATTTTAAGATAAAAGTGTATTCCAACGGTCATAATAATGACATGCGGTGTACAACCAGTGTTCGAAACAGCTGCCTGTCAGCTAACCAAATGGTATTGACTTTTAACTTAGCCTTATAGCATTTCTTCTTCAGGGATGCACCTTATGCTGGCGAAGGTTGCCTGTGTCATATATGCGAGTAAAGCATATTTAATTCATTAACATTAAGTGCTTTACTTTGTTGAAGGTTATTATCGGTGTTTCCTGGATTAAAATCGAAAACTGAACCTATGTCGCTTCAATCAATACCTTTGCTAATCTTCCGCGTGATCGGTTTCAAATTCAATTTTGTGCAGTCATAAATAGAGATAATCTGGCTCTATATTGAAAACACGGTACATCTGTCTATTGATTCCAGCGGGACATTCGTCGTGTTTTGCACGCATGCCATGCAGTGCTTGGGTACAATAATAGCGGCAGGAGACAAAACAGGAATTTATTATAGTAAAATAGGCCGTGTACATCTGAGTATTAACTTTATTCCAGTTAAGTTAATAGTTCTGTTTTAGATATATTGCATGTCAGTATTTGAGATTAACAATGTGTCATGGTGGGCCAGTCTTCTAAGGAGCCGCATTTCGCCGTGTAGTTGCGTCCCTTATCTTAGCTGGAAACAACTCAGATTTGTCCTGACTGTGTAGCCAGGTTTGTCAGCACCATACATTGCTCGTGGAGTTCAATTGGTTCCCGTCTCAGACCTGCATCACTTCGGGCCTCCCACGTCGTGATATAACTGAAATACTGTTCATAGCGACGTTAAACCAAACTCACTGACAGAGTATACCTCCAAAGGTTCATCACAGAGTTCATCAAATGTGCTTCTGTTGACGGATAGTTAATAGTGAGCGAGTGAGTGAGTGAGTGAATATGGTTTTACGACGCTTTTAGCAATATTCTAGCAATATCACGGCGGGGGACACCACAAATGGGCTTCACACATTGTACCCATGTCGGGAATCGAACCCTGGTCTTCGGCGTGATGAGCGAACGCTTTAACCACTAGGCTACCTGACCGCCCCGGATAGTTAATAACATAAATATTCCCAAAGAGTCACGAACGACAAAATAGATCAGGTGGTCATGTTCGGTAATTCAGTTGATTAAGTGGCATCGTACGTCTAACGCGTTGGGGGGCGGTCGGGTAGCCTAGTGGTTAAAGCGTTTGCTCGTCACGCCGAAGACCCGGGTTCGATTCCCGACATGGGTACAATGTGTGAAGCCCATTTTCTGGTGTCCCCCGCCGTGATATTGCTTGAATATTGCTAAAAGCGGCGTAAAACCATACTCACTCACTCACTCTAACGCGTTGGATGTTGTTCATGATATCACTCACTGGTTTTTCCGGTATATGAAATCCCTAAGTTGTTATTAGTCATCAGTCATGTTGTGTCGCCATCTGGTGATGTATCCATGGCCGCTGTCCATGTGTTGTGGACTTCAGCTTGAGGCAGGAGGGAATGGCCACCCAGATCAACATTTCAACGTCTGGACCTTCTTTGTACTGGACAGCTGAGCCCAGGTCCTGGGTCTTCCTCCAAATGGCCTGACTGCAGTAAAAGAAACATCCATTCACTTTCGCATCCTCAGCAGCACGGACTACTGCCAGTTCATAGTCATTTATTTCACAGAAGACTAATTACGGAATTTGATCTGTTTCTTTGGTTTAATATAGAAACAGGCAGGAACTTGCTGATGCAATGGACTCGCTGACTATTTTCTGGGGTAAAGTTGTACTTAGTGACATTCGTCACCACACAACCTACCGTAGAAGCCCTACACTTGCATGCAAAGTTGATACAGGGATACAGTTCAGTCTGTCTACATTCTTGTTGTGCAGGTAGTCACCAACTACTACTTGAGTACTTCATTTGTCTACATTCTTGTTGTGCAGGTAGCCATCAACTAGT